ATTAGAATCTGACTTCTCTGTTTTCTTCAGTGTAAACATTTTTGCGCTTTATATATCCGTTGCAGAGATCAAACCCCAAATTCCAGCATTATAACTCGTCACACTTACCGCTAAGCCACTGGGGGACTTAGTACTAAAACAATGCTAAAGTCTTCGCATCAAATTATGGAATGAAAGTAGAAGCTGAAGATTCTTAAAAAGATTAATATACCCTTGATGAATGATAATATCTTTTTTTCGATATGATTTTTAATTACTAAATGCTATATGATAATTATTATGATTTTTATAAGGTGTAACTCAGTGTTTTTTGGAAGGTAATATGCCTTAGAAAAAATAATGCTGAGTTTAAGAGTTTGGATTTTCATGGTATCTTATGCAAACGTGGGCTAAACAGTTAGATCAGTGATCTCAAAGTTCATGCATTACCATCCCTAGTTTAAAGCTGCCTGAAGGTAACCACAGCAAACCCAAAAGTAACATCTGCTGCCTACATGAGTTCTTATAACCGAATAGCAGGATTAACTTTGCTTTTATAACACGCTCATAGCTGAAATCGCAGAACATGTTCAGAAGCTTATCTGGGGCTCGATCTTTGGACCTTCCGATCTATAGCCTAACATGCTAATCACTAGGCCATAAATTCATAGTTTTATGGCGTAGTGATTAGCCGAAATAATTTTCATGAATTTTTCTGTAAATATATGAAGTGGTACATTTGATCGACTCATGAAAACTTACATCTCAGCAAAACATTTCTTCTTTAGAAGAGCTAAAATAATTTTATTTTAAATTTGATGTCAAACAAAATTTAAACCAGTTGGGCTGTTATTCATTTTACTCTGCACTTCTGGTGCAGGTAGATGGAAATATACCCGCAAATCACCATTATTTAGTTCAGTTTAAATTCTTTACCCATGAGTTTGTAAAATAATAGATTGATATCTAGGACTGTAATTTTGTGAGAAATAAAAAATATACTTGTAGCCACGACTTGTAAAATGAGGCAAACAGATTATCATTCTTAATAGTATAAGTTTGTTTATAGTTTAAGCACAAAGCTACACAGTGGGTTATCTGTGCTCTGCCCACTGCGGGTATCGAAACCCGGTTTCTAGCATTTGTAAGTCTGTAGACCTACTGCTGTGCCACTTGGGGGCTAATAGCATAGGAAAAGAAGACTGGTTGCATTAAGATGAGTTTGAAGTAGAATAATTTCTTCTTAATCAAAAAGTTCTATTTATATATGAAAGTCAATAACTTTTTACCGTAGTTGCGGAAACATAACAGGAATATTTATATATGTCAGATATAAAAGACTATTTAGTGAACATAGTATCATTAATTAATTAATTTTTTGTTTGTAATTCATTGATGTCGAGGCTATCGAACGTTGTGTTTGCAATCCATTGATATCGAGGCAATAGAGATTTCTAGAAAGTCTAAGAGATAGACGTATAAATAGCTGCGACCAGACGAGCAGAAATAGAGAGAGTAAAAAATAAAGTCACGGGAAAGAGAAGTTAGGTGAGAGAAAAGTTATAAAATGCAAAGTTAACCATGGTAGGAGTGAAAGGCCCAATGGTTGATATGTTAGAGTGAGGTTGATAGTTTGAAAAAGATAAGGAGAAGAATTTGTCTTGTCAAAGGGTGTTCTAAGCTAACTGAATCCGCCTGTGTAGATTTTGACGAAAAACAGACGATTATTGGAAGTACAAGATACAACTATGGTAACTCACGCAACAGCGTAAGTGAATTATATACGAATGCTATTGCGATAAAAATTGAGAAAAATAGTTCGGCTTGTCAACTGAATTGGTCTAAGTAGACTTTTGACAATATGAAGAGAACTGTATAGTGTATAAGATACAACTAATATATATATAATAGAAAAATAGTTTGGCTCGTCATCTGAATTCTAAAGCAATTGAATTGGCCTAAGTGATGTTTTGACAAGAAGAGAGAACTGTTTGGTGTTTAAGACACAACTATGTTCTTCATAGTAAAGAATTTTGTATATACGTTCAACTTGTTTCTAATATAGATATTATTTCAAGAACAAGTGGAGTGCGTGGTGTTAATTTATTGTCGAATTTATCGCCAACAAGTCACAGACTCTTACTGTAAAAGAATCCTTAGCCCAACACACACACATATACTTGATTTAACATATACTACTAAAAAGTAAGTTTCTGACAATATATGTATATAATTCAGGCGAAAGAAAAACTTACACAACCATATATTATTTAGTAAGAACACTTTTGCTACATCTGATCAAACAATATACAAAGTGGTCCACAATTATCTTTCCTATTCTAAAATTTAATAATTAACTAACTAAGGTAATACAACCAAGCAGTTTTCAACATTTGGTGGCCAATTTTTATTGACATGTCAGTGGACTTCTACATGTGCACCATTAGTAGCTCTCAGCACGTCTAAACGAGATTCGATTTCAGTCCACGTTCGCTGCAATATGTCCACGGTTACACTGGAGGGAAAACAAAACATGATAATAAAAACTGGTTGAGTTGTATTTCCTTAGTTATTTAATTGTTAGATTTTAAAATAGGAAAGATAATTTTGGACCACCCTGTATTTCGACAGAGAACAGAAAACTTTATCCCTTACCTTTCTAATGGCATAAGCAAATAAAACATATTTTCTGTCAGCCGATAAACTATAGGTGTGGACATCGTAAAGTCTCTGTGAAGAGAAACCATATCTTGCATTATCCATGTTTCACACAACACTGAAACTGGTGAAGTTTCTTAGGTAGGAAAACACGATGAAATGTTATAACAAGATTACTAATATTAAGGTTAAAACGACACTTGTAAATTTTAAGTAACACAGACATAAAAAGAAAACTAAAGTTTAATGATACACATTTAATATTTCAAAATGAGACTGTCTCCAGTCTAAACATACAATAAAACATTTACTCAATAATTTACTGAATACAGATAAAAACCTTATACACTATAGACTGTTCGACGTCATACTTCGTCACTATCCCACTGATGGGGCAGTAAGATGTCAAAACATGCCGAATGTGAGAAACTGTGCCAAAACTCAAGGTTTTTATCTTTGTACAGTAAATTACTGAGTAAATGCTTTATCGCATTTTTAGATTTTTAAACTGAGGACAGTCTCGTTTTTGAATATTTAGTGTGTACCATTAAACATTGGTTTTCTTTCAATATGTAACACTGCTAATAATTTAAAGAATTTAACAAACCAGTTAATATTTTTAGATTTGATTTCTAACTAACATAGTATAATGGTGAAAACAGTATCAGTTTTACTGTAATGTTGTTGTCACGGTCTATGGGGAAAACGCTAAAGTGTTTGGTACAAAATGTTTTCTTATCTTTCAGGGGAAGGTATATAAGTTTTGTTAATTTTCATGATGTATTTAATAGCATAACCTAACTAGTGACAAGTCAAATAAAACTGTATATATATGATTATCAGACACGCACCACCCTGTTTTATTAATTTTCTAACCTTGTGGAACTGAATATAATAACGTTTATTAAGGTTGTCATATTTATTTTATACAAGGACAACCTAGAATTCATAAAATATTTTTATGATAAATTGTAAACAAAGTACGTTTTATAAACTCATGTGTCTGTTTATTACCTCGAATACGGTTTTAGATGTGTTGAGTTTTAAGTATGAAAGTAAACATTTGTGATAACAAGGTCATTAATAAACTTTGCTTCAAGTGCTGTTCTGTACATTATTTTTCTAAAGTATGCTTTGAATATATTTATTAAAATCTTCTTATATTTCATATATTCAAATATGCATTTTTATTTATTTAGAAATGTATTGTAATCCGTTAAGCCTAATTACCAGCAGTATTGCTTCGTCAGTTGTGAGACTTAAATCAGAAAGGTTTGGTTTCAAGGATAGCTGCATTAATTTCTGAAACAATAAGTTGTGCCAAATGACAATGAAAACAGGCATTTTCAAGCAGATCTACATGAAGCATAGACACGTAAGGACACACACACACACACATTTAAGTATAAATACACACGATCCAAAATATGCGAGCTTTGCCTCGCCCATTTGAGAATTGGATAACTATTACTAAAGTTACTCTATTATTGAAAGAGTTAATATAGAACACACACACACACATATATATCTTTCTGCGTACAAGGCGCGGTCGGAAAATAACTATCAATCTTTTAGAAAACGAAGCGCATGCGCAGAACCTACTTAAGAATTAGAACAATTGATTGACCACTGCTCTACCCCACTGACAGGTTATCATTATGTTTCCAGAATGAATAAAAATTCCATACTTTAAGTCCTTAATTGTTTCGAAGTAACGTATAAAGAAGCACAAATATAAAACATAATCATTTTGTTGTATGAATACATAAAAGTCAAACCATACATTTGATCATTTACTAATGCTGTAAAAATCAGGACATTTATTACACACAAGAATTTACCTGAAGATTACTTACAAAAGTTGTGTTTGACATGAGTAGTGTCTTATTTACAGTTTCTGCATTGTATAAAAGGAGATGTCCATCAGAATCTCGGAAAATAAATTCTTTTTCTGAAATGTAGGAGAAGGATTAATATGAAGCAAATATTTTGAATTTAATTTCTAAAGCAAACATTGAAGTTTGCAATTTTTGAAAGGAATGATTGTATTAAAAATAATGAAATTAAGGCTTATCTTTAAATAAAAAAACAGAAACTAGCCTAGGTGAAGTAATAAAAAATGGTAAAAATTTAATATTATTACAGAGTGTTTTTAATTTCAAATAAATTCAACAATTTTCGATGCTTATAAAGGTCAATAGATGGAAACACCAGTTGTAATTCTGCCACGCTGTGGCATTATTTTTCAAAGTAATATCACTTATAATATTCTTTATATAACTGATGGAGTTTTAAGTTTGTATTTAAACTATTCTCTCAAAATGGTATTAAGTAGGTGTATTCTCCGACACCTAAAATATTAGTGAGAAATTGTTTATTAGAAAGAGGTGAACAGAGGATCTTTGTTAATTTATAAGTTAATAAATGTAGCAGTAGAAAACAGAGATAACAAGTAAAGAAAAAGAAACACACTAATACTTGGTAGGCTGGTAACAATAACAGCATAAGAGAAACAAAATTTGTATTTTTTGTGTTTTCATTGCAGGAAAAGGCTAATTTGTAAATATCTTTGTGTTTTAATTTTGAAACCATGATATTCATTTGAGAATTTCGTTACAATACAGTGCCAGATTGTATAACTCCTGAGTCTCGAACGTTGACATATTGTGTCATTTTTGTTTAATCATTTGTTTTGTCATTTAAATTATGTTTAAGGATATACTTGAAGACATATGTACTTTTTTTTCAGTACATAAAAAAATGTTTGATTCATTTAACGTTTCATAAATCATGTTTGATTTGTTTAATGTTTCCCCAGCCCTGTTCTTCTAGCAGAATATTTCAGCAAATATTGACCAATAATAGCTTTGTTAGAAAAAAAATATATTTGGAGAATGACTTAAACCAGTTTTTGTTTTCCGAAACGAAATAAATAAAAAGTAGTTTATACATTTTTAAAATTATTGTCGAGAACCTTAATCTTAAAACATTATTTAAAGTTGCTATGTATTTTCATCCTTGCAAATAAACTTAAAAATGAAAAAACATCTTTTTACCAGATATCCACGTGCCATTAAACTTTCTGGGGGTCAAACTCCCATCTAAAACTTCTATTAAGTTAAGTCGTGGACCTTTCACTCGGGACCCTTCGTAAACTATAAAAAGCATTGTACAAAATGTCTTTATTACTGGTACAACTTATTGTACATAATATCTTTACTATTGATACAACTTATTGTACAAAATGTATTTATTACTGGTACAACTTATTGTACATAATATCTTTACCATTGATACAACTTATTGTACAAAATATATTTACTATTGATATGACGTAATGTACATAATATCTTTACCATTGATACAATATATTGTACAAAATATATTTATTACTGGTACAACTTATTGTACATAATATCTTTACCACTGATACAACTTATTGTACAAAATATCTTTACCATTGATACAACTTATTGTACATAATATCGTTACTATTGATATGACGTAATATACATAATATCTTTACCATTGATACAATATATTGTACAAAATATCTTTACTATTGATATGACGTATTGTACAAAATATCCTTATTATTGATACAATTTATCGTGCATAATATCTTTACTATTGATGTGACGTATTGTACAAAATATCCTTATTATTGATACAATATATCGTGCATAATATCTTTACTATTGATATGACGTATTGTACAAAATATCCTTATTATTGATACAATATATCGTGCATAATATCTTTACTATTGATACGACGTATTGTACAAAATATCCTTATTATTGATACAATATATCGTGCATAATATCTTTACTATTGATATGACGTATTGTACAAAATATCCTTATTATTGATACAATTTATCGTGCATAATATCTTTACTATTGATGTGACGTTTACTATTGGTTTAACTTATTGTAGCCCCCCAGTGGCACAGCGGTATGTCTGCGGACTTACAACGCTAGAAACCGGGTTTCGATACCCGTGGTGGGCAGAGCACAGATAGCCCATTGTGTAGCTTTGTGCTTAACTTCAAACAAACAAACAAACAATTAACTTATTGTAAACTGTTCTTTATCGTAAATCACAATATAATGGAAACTGTTTAAGAAACCTTCATGGATAAAAATTTTCACTGTCTGTTTTGTTTTTTATTGTATTTACTAAATACAACATTCATCAATATTAAAATGCAAGGATAATTGAAGAATCATTGTACAAAATATGATAGAAAATGTTTTAAACATCTTCGAGGACAAAATTTTTCACTGTCTCTTTCCGTTTGGTTTTAATTAGTAAATGAGATTTCATTACAATTGAAAAGCGTGAAAGACCAAACGTTAATGAAACAAACAATAGGTACGAAAATTAATATTTGAACCAAAAGATATATTTCTGCTATTTTGTAACTGAAATAATAATAGTGAATTAACGTTTGGGTTTTAATTTTAGTTGTTGGAAGTTGTTTTAAAAGTTGAAATTAAGAAAACAATCACACTTTTAAAGAGATTCGTTCAGAGAAGGTAAGGATCTAATTTCTGATTTTCATGTTTGAAATAAGTATAGAAAATAATTGTAACAAAACTTGTGCAAGAGATGCTATTTTTATTTTATACACAAAACACTAAACTAAAAAGCTGTATTTTTATTGTTTTAACTTTTAACTGCTAACTTTTTGGGCTTCATTCAGAGTATTTACATGTTTCATATTGTTAAGACATTCGTTCTGATAGGGAAATCAATTATTTTTTTATACAAAAGTAAGAAGCATCTTTGTTTTTTGATAGGATAACGTCATAGATTAATGACCATAAAACTTGACATCGAAATATCACTCACGAAGTGCGAAGTTTTTATCTTTAAAGGTATTATACTTTTACGGACTGAAAACAATTCCTTATGGAAGAACACAGAATTTTGTAAAAAAAAAAATCTGTTAACTGTTATCCTAAATATAAAGTTATATCATACGTTTAAAATTCATCTGTTAAAATTATTTTAAGGAAACACATTCAAACTAAGTGATAATCTAAATTAAATGATTCTTCGTGTGGTTTTTGTGTTAATACGATGACAAACATTAATGAATGATTCTTCGAGTGGTTTCTGTGATATGATCATGGTGGACATTAATGAATGGCTTTTGTATATATATATGTTAAAAAGATTTCTTTTCTTTTTCACCACAGGTGAAATTGAAATAAGAATCGGTCACGTAGAGGCCTAATGCATTATTTGATTAGCCGAACCCTCTGCTGTGGACTGCAGTTTCACTTATTCAAGGCTTATCAACACAGCTTAAGTCAGAAAACCAAAGAAACACCATTAGGCCACTTATAATGGTGATGTTTATATAATGTCTATTCTTCATTTGGTTTCTCTAATAAGATCAAGGCCATGAAGAACACCAAATAACAAACAAAGCTGATGTTTCTAGCGTCCTGTCAAATGACCTTTAAGTACTTTTTTCTTATGATTTATGAAAATGGTAAGTCATAGCAGACGGCAAACTTCATTAGAAATGAAGTATTAATGAAGTAACTTTATAGAAATTTGATTATTAATTTAATTGTAAAAAAATCACTTTAATGAAGAAGTGAAATTATTCTACCCATTCTACAGGAGAAAAAATATATCAATATGATTAGAAAAGCGCATATTATATCCAACACACCTCTGTTTTAAGAAAATAAAACATTACAAAGTCCCTTGTCTTTTGTCAGAATTTATTTATTTGAAAATTTTAGGGCACCATCTGTTCATCTAACCAATGTCTATTACACTTATTTGAGATGCTGAAGTAGATGCGAAATTAAACAAAGTGTTGATGTAAAAAAACTTTATGCTGGAATTTAAGAGCAGAGCTAAAAAGTTATAATATGAATGCGATATTGCTGAAAAAAATGCTTGATTGTTTTAAGTATTCGGTACACTAAGTTGGATATTCACCAATGGTTTACTGATAGGAAGGAAGTTTATAATACATTTATCCCTGATGAGAGAAAGTTCAAGGTTGGTTTTGCATGCTTTGGAATATCATGGGCGGTAATAAGATATATAGCAATTCTAATACGTTTGTTTGTTTTGTTTGTAATTAAGCACAAAGCTACACAATGGGCTATCTGTGATTTGTTCACCACGGGTATCGAAACCCGGATTCTAGCGTTGTAAGTCCGCAGACATACCGCTGTGCCACTGGGGGGTTCTAATAAGAAAAAAAGATGTGAAAAAAATAAAAGTATCGTTGGTTCTTTTACTATACAGACCATTCGTAACTTATAGACTCCCCCAGTGGGATAGCGGTAAGTCTATGCATTTACAACGCTAAAGTCCAGGTTTCGATTCCCCGCGGTAGACATAGCAGGTAACCCAATTTAGCTTTGCTAAAATTAACAAACAAGTTTACCTTCTAATGAAACAATAAGAAAAATGATGAGTTTGATTCAAAATCCGGAAAATATTTCTCGTAAAATAGCATAGATGAGATTTGGTGAAACAAAATGCCTAAAAATGCCTTTAAAAATGAATCGTAAAAGAAACAGATGTACATAGAGGAATTGTAAACAAGAAACAAAAATACATGCTGATAGGTCAGCAATAATTAAACTAGAGAATGGGAAGTCAAGAATCCCATAATGGTAAAACTGCAACAGAATGTATACACAGGAAAACAGCCAACTAAAAGGAACAATCGAGAAGATACACAAGAAAATAACCAATCAACAGAAACAGTTAAATGTTTTGTCCTGAAATCTATCACTATCAGTTAGTTGAGTAAGAATCACCATATCGCCTGTGTATGTGCTTTTTATTTATCATTTGTTAGTTCAACTTGACTTTTCTGTATTGCATGGAGCACTCTAACACTTTCCAGTGATAATGTCTCCATTCATTTGTAATATTGTCTAATAAAAGTCGGCTTGGATAACATAATAACACTCCACATACTACTGAATAAAACCTCTATAACCCGAGCGCTTTCGAAAGGTGGACCTTTATTCTTCAGGGGCAAAGTGGGAATAGTGGGGTAATCGAATGAGTGATATATATATATATATATGGAGTTTAGTGACATCATGAAGGTCATCCGGTTCTCCAGGAAATGTTTAATCTATACTCTATGTACTGTTGTAAGCATCTCATTTCTGGTACAGTGTAGCAGATGACGAGAGTGTATGTGAAAAGGTATTAGGGATATTTTACTTTAGATATGGATAAATATATGTATATTTAAAACTATACATAAATGTTTAAGTAAAATAAAGGTGATACCTGAAAACTGATTGAAAAATAAATGATATGCTAATTGTTACGTATTACAATTTCGAATGGTCTGAAACCGAGCTAAATGATAATTTAAATTCAGTAGTGAAATAAATACCGATATATCTCCAATTTATCATATTTGCCAATAAGATTGAGACACACAGTTTTATTTTTTATTTAACAGTATAAGTTATGTACATTTATAAATAAATTAATTTAAACAAACATCGATATTAAAATAAATATATAATAATAAATCCGCCACAACTCCCTCCTTAGAAAATTAAAAATTGGTGTTAGATAATTTTTAACTAAGATATTATATATATACATATACATTGGTAACAATGCATTAAATATAATACATTATTCAAAGGATTACAAAACTTCAATAACCATGATGGTACATAACACAATCAATACAAATAACCTTATCATCATAAAATTACATAGCACGTGAAAGTGCATCAGTACAAATGTTATCAACCCCTTTGATATGGATTATCTTCAAATCATACTTTTGTAATGATAAACTCCACTTTAACAGTCCTATGCCTTTCTTTCTTCTTTTCTGTTTTTTTTTGTTCTTTTTTCTTTTCTTTGGTTTTTTGTACTTTTTATTTTTTGAGTGGATGTACCATTGTGGGTAACAATACTAAGACCATGTCACCAGGATGGAACTTACGTTCTTCAGCCTTGCGGTAATAAATTTTCTCGAGCCAATTCACAAGCACGTAATAGTCTGGACAGAAACTTGGAAATGTAATCCAACAAGTGCATTTCTTTCGGATCTTCTTACCACCACTGTTCCTTCAGCAACTTCAAAGGACCAAGGTTTTCCGACCAACTGACAGGTATGACAAGTTTTACA